CTAGTTGAAACACACCTCCTTCACCACTACATTAGGCCAAAGCTTGCCTCATCATTAAAGACACCCCTTCAAAAGGAGTGTTGCCAGGGAAACACAATGTAAATATGACCTGTAGTAGCCACTCAGTGCTGCTTGGAAAGTCTCCTGTCCATAAAAATGGCTTCTCCTTCCTCCACCACTTCCACTTCCACTGGTGCGCAACCTTCTGCTGTTTATTTTGTTATATTTACTGGCAGCCAGGTGTATGGTGAAAATAATGAAATTTCAGATGCATAAACAGAAACTCTATAAAAATAAGACACAGATTCACCTCAGCAGCTTTGGAACATTCTACACTCCATAGAATGCCATGTGGGCTGCTTTTTCACAGTTTTATAATTCCCAAGGGGATTATTTTAATAACCTGTCATCATGTGGGCATGTGAATATTTTACACATATAATACTATCAGGCAACACCTTCTGAGTATAGTACCAGTCATCATAGCTTTTATTATAGCAATCAATATTTTTGTATCCTTAAATGATGCAATACAAATGCCCATCCCATCTTACTAACCTTGATCTGGAAAGTGCATTGACCTACATTATGAAAGAAGTTTTCAAGGTTGTCACTAAAAAGAAGAAAACAAAACAAGCCAGGGCTCATGCTGTACTGGCTGTAGCCTTGAAGTGCTAAGTGGTCTTTTGCAAGAAACAGTATTGTACTGCTTCTTCTCCTTGCATACCAGGAAATTTCTTTATTCAGATCCAGACAATACCAAAATTTAATTAGCTTAAAAATTTTCTGAGTGACTGAATTTTAGAACAGCATTTTAGTGATCGCAGAAATTACACTGAATTTGTTTTACCTGAACTGTGTCATGTCCCTATCTCCCTCTTGTTTTTATGCATTATAAATTAGTACATATAAGCTTCTGAAATCCCTTTTCCATATCCATACTTTGCCATATCATAACCTCTTCTCATCCTCCTTTGGAATAATTTAAATCCTTAGCAGTTAGAGACATATAAAACGTTTCAGCTGGGAATGAGAAAATGTCTTTTCAAATTTCCTGAGAGTTAATCAGTCTCCAGCAGACACATTTAGCTTAAATGTCTCTTCCTGCAAACCCCAGAGCTCCATCAACATATAAGCCTTCCCACACATAAAGCTAGGATATCAAACACATCCTTTCCACCCTCAAATTGGAAAATACTTCTAAAATTTTGTTGTTGGACTCCAATTATGTTATTCTATTTGTATGAGCACCTGTTAAGGGTGAACATAAATCCTTGGGATGTAAATCACTAAATTTAACAGGGATGGTGTTGTAGTTACATCCTGGTTTCAAATACCTGAAAGGAGCTTGTAGTCAGGTGGGGGTCAATGTCTTTTCATAAGTAGCAAGTGACAGGACAAGAGGAAATGACCTCAAGTTGTACCAGGGGAGTTTTTAGACAGATACTAGGAAAGATTTTTTCACTGAGAGGATTATCAAGTATTGCAGCAGTCTGCCCAGGAAAGTGCTTGAGTCACTATCCTTGGAGCAATTTAAAAAGAGTTCAGATGTGGTGCAGGATATGGTCTAGTGGTGGACTTGGCACAGTTAGGTTAATGGCTAGACTCAAATATCTTAGATATCTTTTACCAGTGAGACAATTCTCTGATGCTTCACTGCCTCTCATGGACAAAAGGCTGCTGGGATGTTGTTATCTGCTATTCAAAGTCCAAGTCTGCTGATCACACCAATGTTCTGGTGAGCACTGGTGCCACATGCAGGGTGGACTTCCATGTAATGCTCAGCCCAACAGAGAGACACCTCCCACCCACTGGCACACATTGACACCAATGGCCCAGCCAGTGACTCCTATCCAGCTGCTCCCTGGTCTTCCTTAAGATTTCTATGCTGTGTTTTCTTTCTTGAATCCTTGATTGGTGAATGATCCCATCTCGACAGCCCTGTTCACACCTCCAGCATTACCTTTCATACCACTCTGGGGATGTTCCCACAGCTGTGCCAGGAGCCAGGCCCCACGTCAGCAAGCAGTGTCCCATCAGGGCCTCCCGCTACAGCATGGTAGGAAGCTCATCCAAAGATTGTGGAAAGGGAGTTTCATAGGTGGCCAAGTCATTACTCAGGACCCATATGCCTTTGCTGTTCACATCTACAAACCAAAAGGTACTGTGTTTATCTTATTACATTTTCTTTCATTAACAGGGGGACTTCGCCCCATAGCCACTTCACCCTGGTGGACAAGTCATGGAGGAGCATGGATCTTCTTAAGCACTAGTTGATGTGACCCTTAACAATCGCTAGTTGTGATTTATTTTTCTGTCCCTCTCACTCTACCATACAGCACAGCTGACAGGCAAAAGAAAATGTGTCCACCAATCTCTAGAGTTCGTGACACAGCAAGGTGAATAAGACCTCTTCTTCGGCTGTGACTGACAGCATTTTCTCCTCAACATAGGAAGCTGTGTGAGAAGGAACGCCAAGTGACTTGGCTTCCTGATAGAACTAGCTGACCAGGAGCCCCTCTGCATGAGTACATCTGATTTGATCCATCTCCCTATTAGATTTTGGGGTCAGGTGCATGGAGGGATTTTTAGAGTTAATATGTCTCTGAATTCACTCATAGATCTGAAAAATTATTCTTCCAAAATACTTATGTTCTAAACATTTTGCCTTTGGACAAAAGGAACTGATAAATGAGCTACTGTACTTAAATAGATGATTTGGGGAGTCTCATTCTGGAACACAATCTGGTGTACAGCAGCATTTGATAACAGCAGCATTTTCGAGCAATACTGACTGTTGGGATTCATAACAGAAAACTTTTGTCAACTGTGAGATCAGACCAAAAAGAAGAGGATGACATCACTGGCTCATCACATAAGCTGAAGGACTGACTTGACTAGACTGGATGCTTCAGAAGAGGAAAGTAACCTAGAGCAGACATGGATTAAACTGAACGGGTGTAAAAGTGTACACAAGCACAATGTATTTTTAAATTAGACTTGTGTCTTTTGTGATTACACAAAAGCCAGAACAGGAAGATGATTGTTGCAGAGAATCTGAAAATTTTGCAAAAATCTTCAAAGGACAAAAACCCAAAGCATTTATTTTGGAATACTGCCTGACCCAGTTTAAGACTTTTCATTTGGCAGCATAAAGTACTACATTGTGTGGGATGATGATCAAGGCCAAGTATTAAGGCAGCCTGTTAGCTGAAGGTTTGCACAGCACATCTCAGTTTGTCTTCATAAAGTGTATAGTCGAACCATTTAAATCTGTGGGGTCAGCTGGACTATTGTTAAAGTTTATGTAAATACAGTACCATTAAGCAAATACTATACAAAGTATTAAAGATCATTTGTCTTCCTTACTCTGTGCTTTGTGTCTTGCTTGTACTGAAATCTTTTCATGTCCATTTTATTTTGGGAACAAAATGAGCATGAATGCAATGCTATCAGCTAAGAGCATTTTATGCTATCACAGTAATTTATTATCTTTATATGTCTGGAGGGACAATGTAAAGAAAAATCCTATTTCAGGTCATTTAAAGTGAATATCCCCTCTCTATGTTAATAGCAGTATTTCATGTATGGAAGTACTATTGTGGAATTTCGTTAGTCAGATTCTTTTATCAGTTAGCATTCAGCTCAGTGAAAATTGACAGTAGTTATGCAATAATAAGGTGCTGCTGGTATATATTCTATATATACCAATATATATTCCAATCTACCATGAAAAAAGCTGCACGCTCTAAGCACAAACATTTTGTGGTAAGAATGTTGCAAGGACAGCAAGAGGCAGAATCTGGCTGACACTTCATAACCACATAATTTGGATCAGCAAATCCTACAGTGCGTCATTTCCTTTCACGATAAACCCATATTTTGTACCAATGTCTCTTTCTGAACTGCTTCAAAAGCTCTATAAGAGCTCTAATAAGAGTTGTACTGAGTGAACTAACACTACTGTATTTTGGTGGGGGTTTTTTGTTTCTTTCTTTGCTTTTGGGTTTTTTCTTTGTTTTGTTTTAAAAAAGGCAAAAATAAATACAGCACCTAATTTTTTCTAATAACAAGAAATAAGGGAGTGTCTTTCATAGTTATGAAGTATTATTTAGGGACTAGATGAGTTCTTTATATGATATTGTTAAAAACAGTCAAGACAATGTATTTTTTACTAGGTGTCACAGCTGTTTGGCATCTTGTATTTAAAGCCCACCTTTAAAAGTAGCCTAGAGTTAGTTTACTTAAGCAAAAAAGATGTGAGTTCACATCTCAAATGACTTGCGTCCTGATGACACCAGAAACAGTGACAAAAGAAAAATATCCTAAGACTAATTTGACACTGTGATTATTGTAGATCCTTAAAATTATTTAGACAACAAAATTTGTGAAGTTGTTCAACTTAAACCAACGTGACAGGTGTAGTTAAATAAACTGCAAATGTATTTATAAAAGTTACATTGATGACTCCTAGTAATCACTTGCTCTTTTCAGACAGCTGGATAAAGCTAGATTACCTCATTTTATCTTGAGTTTTCCCTCAAAAAATTGCTGAAATCTTAAAATTGCTACTACAAAAACATACATAGTAAAAATAACTCAGCTGCAATCTGAGTTAAATTGTAAAGGGATGACTTATTGAGGAATAATCTTGTGCCTTTCCTAGATCTGATTAATAGCCTATTAACTGTGTGGGAGGGAAAGAGTCTCACCATAAGGCTCTTCTGTGTGCTTTGCAAAGATGTTCATTGTGGTTCATCCTGTCTTCATAAGTTTTACAAACATTGCTGAATCTCAGGAATTTTTAGATAGTTATAATTCAGTCAATTAATACGCAAATGCTACTCTAAGCCTGTAGCACACTGAGTTTAATTTCACAGAAAACAAAATATGTTTTTTTAAATGCTATGCACACTGATGTCCTTACAGGTAAGAACATTGCTGCAAATGCTAGAATGAGGAATCCTTAATTATCACTAGCCAATAATAGGGAAGCAAAAGATTGTAAGTAATCCTTTATTATGCATTTTTATTAGTAAGTATTGGTATTTGGGGCATGCACACTAACACTGCAACAATTATATTTATTACAGTATTACAACAGAAATTATCTAAAATCTTGTATTTTTGCATTTTGTGAACACTGTTTACTGCTTCTGCAGTCTTACTTGAGATTCAAACCAAACTCCCTGGTAAGTCAGGCTGATCCACCTCGAAAAACGACCAGGCAAGATTTTGGCACAAATTGCTTTAAGTTATATTACACTAGGGGATGTCACCAGTGAAAACACAGTACCAAAATTTGTGATGCAACTTGAATTATTTCTGGAAAGGGAATAGAGTAATTCATTGTCCAGCAATTACTTAGAAGCAAGACAGTAAATAACACAGATGAAATTATTTTTTATAGTCTTATTTGTTGTTATTACTGGAGGAAGATCTAGGGATATCTTCTTTGTCCATACAGAATCAGTCACGCTTATAGCAAAAACCATCATTTAAAACCAAAGCCAGATTGAAATGCCAATGCATAGAATAAAGACAGCAAATTGTCTGGGACAGACCATGCTCAATGACTGATTCGAGACAGTCCAAGATGCTGCCATTCTTTGCTATGATTCTGCCCATTTCTTCAGGGCAAATGCCAGAGTAACACTTGAGTGTGCTCAAGTGTTAGCTGTTCCTTTTTCAGCCAAACACCAGACTTCCCACCAAAACACATAAATGGGTGCACCAGCATGTCTGTCAACACCACTGCAACAATGGCAACAGGTATTGGAGAAGGGATAAACAGTATGGAGCAGTTCTCACTGCAGCAGTTCTTCCCATGAACTGGCATCCCCATGAGCACGAATGGAGACTTTACCTTTCAAAAGGCAAGTACTGGAAAATGTCTGAGGTAACAACCTTTGCATTTTCAACAATGTGTAAGATAGGGAGAAAATTTCACTTCTTGCATTTGAATTACACTTGCAAAAGCTCAGACCAACAGCTGCCAGAGTGACATCTAACACCTAAGTGACATCTAATGCATAACTACATTGCAATCTAATGTATAAACATGTTGTCCTGAGACATTATATAACTCTTTTTTTGCACAGATTAAAAGCTCTAGGAGTCATGAGAAGAACTAATATACATACATACTCTGGAGAACTCTGGAGAAAAAGACAATTTTGTACTACTAAGACACCATTCCTTCTAAATGGAAGTATATTTCTAGTCTTGCCAGTAGCATAAAAATAGTTTTCCAAGACTAATACAAATTCATATGAAACCTAAGAAGACATGCACAATGCAGTTAACAAATATGTGGCATCCTGCATTCTGTGAAATTTAAGTGAAATTGTTTATTAATAATTTTATTTATGAATACTACTCCCACTGAAGTAGGAGCCCTTAATGAAAATCTATTTATGCAGATAACTAGTCTAAGACTAACAGGGCAATATGAGCATTCTGAACTGCTGTCATTGGACAGAAAAATAATTCAAATTCTGTGGGGCAAGGATAATTCTTCCATTTGACACATTCCCAAATTCCTCTGCTTTCACTGCAGAGGGCTCCTCTTCAACAGGGTAATAAATAAATCTTATTTACAGTATGTAGTTCACAGAACACAAGGAAAGATAACTTTCACTGCAAAGAAAAACTTAAAAAGGAACAAGACTCTAAATATTTCCAACTTTTCCATGTTTTCCATCCCTACCTCTCTCCATATGTTTATTAATATAAATTTAAGCCTTTAAACAAAAATACATATATAAATAAAGTTGCATATAACAAGGCATCAAAACCCCTACCCCAGTTTCAGAATCACAATTGTATGGACAGGCATTACCAAACAATGCTGAATTTGAAAGAACAGATCCTGGTGCAAATCCAACTCCTGGCTGAAAAACACTGATACAGTTAATTCTCATAAATTTTATTATTTTTTCATCCCTCTACTGAAGATGCTCTTCCCCTCTGAAATACAGTTTTATTTGGAACAACAAACACACAGAACATCGTCCTCAGTTAAAAACCTGGTATAACTTAGAAATGTTATTCTTATGTTCTTAAAGCCTTTGCTCATACAGAAGAAAATGAATGCCACAACTGGGTCACATCAGGTAAAAATAATTTTTGAAAAGTATTTTTCATTGCAAAACATGTCAATTCTGTAAACCACGAACTACAACTCTCTTCATTTCTCTATTAGATCTTATTTAAGCAGAGGCAAGAGGCAATAAGAATTAGAAGACGATAGGAGAAGATGAAGAAGTGTAAATTCCATACTTGACAGCTTGACTTTAAACATGAAGAATACAGAACCACAGAATAATTATTCAGCCTGGAATAGACCTCAGGAAGTCACAGTCCAATCTCCTTATCACAGCAGAGTTAACACTAGGTTGCAATCAGGCAAAAAGGTTTAAACCGAAATGCACTATCCCCCTTAAAGCAGTTGATTTGGGTCTATAGTTCATGTGCCTCCGGTAAAGTGAACATTTTTTAACTACGTGCATATTCAAGAAGAAAAACGGAGCAGCTGTGTAGCTGAATATACAGAGAGTGTACATACCTGACCTCTTCCTGTAGACAAGTACACTTAACAAGAAAACTTCTTCAAAATAAATCATGCCTATCTCATGGGTGAGTTTTATACAAGAGTCTAGTTCTTCTAAGCACAGGCTGCATTGGTCACTGTGCAAAATTCCTGAACTCTGAACAGACATTAGTAAGAATTTTCACTTAATACTGTGGCAAAACCACATAATCATAAGAAGCAAGAAACAAGTGCAAAAATTCATACATCATGTTATTATTTTTAATTTAGTAATTGAAGTGTTTCAGAGCAGGCACTACATTGCTTCAACACAACCAAGTATTGAAATAATGTCAAAAAATAACCTCTTCACCTCAGTATACACACGCGCATATACACAGACATACACAAATTAATTTAAAAAATCTGTACATATGTATTTTTCAGGAAGCAACTCAAAGAACTGTAGCACAAAAAATTATTTTCTGTACTCTAACACACTAAAAATTATAATCCATTTCTCTGAAGATAGGGTTTAAGGACACAAAATGCCATGCAGTACTATTTAGTAGAAAATGAAGTGGCAAATAAATTTATCTATTTAGGGCTTAAAGAATACACAGAATTCCTTAAACAAAACAAATGCAAATTTATCAGAAATATTTACTGTCCTTGAGCTATGCAGGCCCCAGTTATTCGTCTTAACTGAAGCTTATCCCCTTTGTAGAAAACAGCAAGTATGTGACTGGAAATTCAGGATACTTTATTTTCTGTTACTGGCAGCAAAGCTGGTTCAAGAAAGAAGTATCCTTGTTGAATCTGGGTCTGAAAGTCCATCATCTTGATTAGTTGCCTCATAATCACCTGTGTTATCAGCTAATTCAATGTCTTCATCATTACTCTCTGCACTGTAATCAACTTCTTCAAGGAAGCGAGGTTCATCTTCATCCAAAACATATGTAGTGGGGCTATAACAAACAAGAAGCTCCATTAATCATATTAAAAGTATTATTTGGATTAACACATTCAGACCATGTGCCCTATCCCTTTCCTGACATACAGTAATCCAAAAATTACCTCAGAAAAGGGGCAGATTACCTGAAATGGGACTGGCTTTTTAGTTGCTTGTAAAACAGCTGAGAGACAAACCCATGCTTGTAATGCTTTGAACTAATTAGTTAGTCACATACAACTCATTATCCAAATGCACCATGACAAATCTGCTACACTAATGGCCCATAAGAACTTAATGTAAATACAGCAATATCAGAAATTGCTGAAGAAGGATCCAACTACCTAAGGGCACAGCCATTGCTGTAGGGTATAAACAAACTGCTGTATTTTATTGAAAATAAAACACACTTCACTGAAAAGCATTATACTGATTATACATATCAGAGATGACAGAACAAGGAGTCAAGGTTACACCTACAATTAAGCTTCCACATGAATCACTTAACTTCCATCAGATTCTCACACATTTGTATCCTGATAAAACTTAAAATTTGTCAAGCATTGCAACTCTGAGGCAATGCTCTTAGTGAACTGATGCTCTGCCTACAGAATGGTCTATGCCCTTAACTAATAGCACCAAAGAAAAAGAGGATTAATACCTTCAGTGTTAACTGGAAAAAGATTAAAATACAACTTTCTGATCCTCTCACCTCCCTAGAACAGAGGAAGGGATGACGGGGGAGGCAGAAAAGTATTTTCCAGATCCAGTTTTACTTGGGACATAAAAAGCTATCTGCTTAAAAGCACTAAGTACTCCTAAATATTTCATAAGTATTTTTACATTCATTTTAAGCCCTAAAAAGGTTTTGTAATGCATTTTACCTAATAATCAAATCATACAGAACTCATACAAAACAGTGAGAATGTTCTTATTGAGAAACATCATAAAGAACCTGTAGAAATATTTGCATATTAATTTTAATTAATTTTCTCTGAAGATACAAAAAACCTAGCTTGGCTGTGGCTTTATAATTAAAAGGACTAATCACTGCTTCTTTCTAAAGACCTTTTAGGAGCTCAACTGCACCACTTGAAATCTGAAATGCTATCTCTATTCAATATAAATAAATTTCACAGTATTCTTCCTCTACCTGTAATTTCAATGACATGCCATATTGTAGTATTTTGTACTGTTGACAGTTAATTCAAATACTGGGAGAAAAACTGTTCCCAAGCTTAGGGGGGAAAAAAATATTTACATTCAAAACTATCTGTATCATGGTTCACTAAACAAGCCTGTACTCTAGTAGCGATGCGAAACAGAAAGCTCCACAAAACAAAATACTTCATAAGTTATTTAAGGGCAATAACCCACTGATGGTTAATGAACTGGGTGTTTAAAATAAAATTGTTTCCATTTAGGAGATACAAAGAGTGAAGAAAATAACCAGGATCTTTGCTAAGAAGTCTCATTCATTTCACGTATAGGGAACCCAACATACAATAAGGATACATTTTTTGCATGAAGCACCTGTGGGAGAACGAGCAAAGGAATACAAATTTTTTGTTCTTTCATCCTGTGATGCTTTCTGCCCTAGGAAGTCACCACCTACCAACAATTTCTTTAAGGAAAGAACAAGTCAGGGAAATAAAAAGTTTAAATGTTCAGTTTATTTAAAGAAACAAATGAAAGGGACTTCACCAGATGTATCACATTCTGACAAGTTCATAGATTTTTTTCAATTTGTGCTTCTAATCACTTAACACAGGTACTGATTAATTCATTTTTGTATGCAAGGAATCCACACTTCAGTTGAATCCACACAGAATAGACTGTGTAATTCAAAGGAAATAGAGCCACTAAATCTGAATGTTGACCAAATATTATGTAATAATTCTGAGCACTGACAGAAAAGTACAAAGAGCTATGTCAAGGAGAAATATTTAACCAGTGACAATGGAATGTTTAAGGCATTAGAGTAATCACTTATAAAAATTCATCTTAGTGAGGTATATAGAATAGTAAAGCTCTGAAAAATTCTATCCACTTTTTTTAGTTAATGCCATTATTTGGATACTAAACTGACATAGAACTGGACACAAAAGGAAACCACAAAGTTCAGCTCTTCAAAGTGTCTTATCATTTCATATAATATGTCCTGTATTATATTGTCTTGAAAAACATGGAAGTATACTTATTCAATATACTTTTTTTAATAGTTGGATACATTCATTTTACCTACACATGTATGTGTAACATGTAGGCATGCCCGTAACTTTTGAAAATTCATGCACTGTGAGCAGTTATAAAAAGCCAACCTGTTTGCTCTAACACATTTTAGGCATTTGCTCTGGCACATGTACATCCAGAACTGAGGGATATGTGTCACATTCAATAAAGCAAAAAATCAACATTATATGTCATTTTCTCTGTTCAAGAGAAGTACCATTAGAATAGATCAAAGATTAGAACGGATCTTTCTTAGAAAGCTACATAAGCCTTTAAAATAAAATCTGTCTCTGAAATCTACTGCATATTAGTCTTTGCATTCTGTTACCATCCAGAGCAACACGCCACGACTTCTCAATTGTGTATTACTCAAATAATACTATAATATTTACTAAGGTTATTTTTTCCATTTTCCCCTTCCTAAGTTTCCATTCCTCATAAAACTGTATCCAAACTGTGTCACACACTACTCATATATTTGCTTTCCCATGAGATGCTGTCTTTTGATGTAGCAAATGTTAGCCTTGAATATTTAACTTTTCAGTAATCTCTGTTCTAAAGGTTAGCATGAATCTGAGAAGTATAATTATTATTCCACTGTTTCACTGAAGCTGGATCACAAGAAATATAGAAATCAAATACCTAAAAAAAGTCTTACTGTTTAATCAAATTCTTTATTTGCCTCCCTGCTGCTCCCCACCCTCAGCATATCTTGTAGCGATATATTTTTAGCTGCTGTCATGCTGATTCTATGGGCTTTAATTTCCTAACTTTTCCCTTGGGCTCTTTCTAATTAACTTGCTCAATAATCCTTCTTCCTCTACTCCTACACCTCCTACTTTTTCTTTCAAAAGGAAACTATTATTTTTCTCAGGTTAGCAGAGGTTGTTTATCCCACACCTACAGTATCGTAATGTAAAGGATGCCATGATCCTTTCTTTGAAGTCATGGCTGTTGAAACAGAATACTAAATGAAATTCTGAAGTTCTGCATATTTTACCTAAACAACATTTTATGGGCAAAAAGAGGAATTCCTAAATGCCTGATTAATACACGTGATCTAATATTATGGTCTTCAAGTTTATGAAGAACTTGAAGAATATCTCTTGCATTTAAAAGAGTATTTTCTTCATCACCTGCCACTGAATACAACGAATTTAGGAATTAATACAATAGTTTCCTAGAATGTATTTTAATTATTAATTAAAGCATACTTTAATTATTAAGGTCAGCTAGGCACACACAGCACTGATAGCAGCAACAGCAGTGGCAGCCATGGCAAGTTCTGGGGGCTGAGCACTAGAACAAGCTGGGCAGAGCCTCCACGGTCAGAGAAACATGAGTAAGACCTGAGAGCTCCACCAGGAACCATCAGTTCTCATGAGTGAGGCTGGCAGGGTGTGAGTGTTGCCAGCAGATTCAAATGGCCGCGGAGAGTGCGAGCAACCAGGGTGTGGTGCCATGGTCAGGACATGGCGCAGCAGTTCTCCAGGAAGGACACACAGAAAAGGCCACATGGGGAGGAAGAGGAAGCAGTCTTCTTTAACAAAAATGGCATCTATACATCACAGCTGTCATACTAAAACCAAGAGAGACCCACAGCCACATTGGGTATATGTCTAGACCCAAACAGACTTGCGGAAGACTAAAAGAACCACCTGGATCCTCAGCTGCAGGAAACTCCATAATCTGAAAGCTCCCCCCAAGCCCTAAAGGCAGAGGTAGTTGTCATGGGTGCAAGAGTGCCCAGATAGGTAACCTGCCTTTTGAGCAGGTTGCCATGTTGTGTAGAAGCTCATCAGGCAGCATGTGATCTGGGAATCCAAGCAGGAGACTGAGGTATGGGATTATGCACTGACACAGGCAGAGAGGCAGCTGCTTTAAAACCTTAGCAACAGAAGGCATATTAGCATCCAACCCTGAGATAGGCTTGATTTATTTGCAAGGCAAGGGAGACTGGACTCTCATCTCTGCTTGGAGCAAAAGAAAGAGTCTCCCCCTTGCTACCAAATTGCCCTACATAACAAATATGACAGTACGAGGCTTGGAGAAGAAAACTCCACAATAAGTGGTCAAGAACAAGAAAAGGAGAATGCTACAAAACTGGTACAATGAACCATTCATACGAGTGCCACCAAAAATGCATGAAGCATGGTAATTACTGGAAATCCTCACTGAGATACATGGAAACAGCCATTTACCCTCCAGCCTCTCTAGCAAGATTTGCTGCCTATCAGGGCCACATTCATCATGTCACAAAGAGGTCACCAAGACAGGTAAAACCAGAGGATTATCAACCACTCCTACTCTTTCATGTAGGGTTGAATGAGGCTGCAACTATGAGACTGTGAAATAGCAAAAGGGATTTCAGGTCTCTTGGAAAGATGTTGAAGGGATCAGGAACACAGTGTTCTCTCCACACCTGGAGACTAAGAGCAAATCATACCTTACCCATCTGATGGTGTTTTATGATGGGATGACTACAACAGTTAGCATGGGAAGATCAGCATACATCACCAACCCAGACTTCTGTAAGGTCTTCAGTGTCCCATATGACATGCTTATCTCCAAATCAGAGAGACATGGATTTGATGAGTGGACTGTTTGATAGGCAAAGAATTGCCTGGATGGACACAGCCAGAGAGTTTTGGTCAAAGGCTCCATGTCCACCTGGAGGCTGGTGACAAGTGGGGCTCCCCAGGGCTCTGCCGTGGGACCAAGTGCCCTTTAAGACCTTCTTCAATGACACTGACAGTGAAGTCAAGTGCTCATGCAGCAGGTTTG